CGCAGCAAGCGCAGCAAGCCATATATATATATATATATATATATGTAAGTGTTTTCTACTAATCAGTACAATTTACACAATTTATACATTTTATTAAATTACATTTACTTAATATTATATGAAGTGTACATCTATTTTTACTAAATCTTTTCTTTTTTATATATATATATATTTGTAGATATGCATTTCAAATATGAGGGACGCACAGAGGTAGCCTAATTCACACAAGCTCTCTCTCTCTTTTTCTGTGTGTCTCTGTCTCTCTTGCTCTCTTTCTAATAACTTGGTTAATAACTGCATTAGAATGCTATCAACGGCTCAAGCCTCCATCACCAGCTTTAAAATGACGTTTTGCAACTAGCAAAAGAGGCGTTGGATGAGATGTGGAAGAAATAATCCTACTCACAATAGCGATTTAAGTACAAAAACCGGACGAATCCCTTTAAATATATCATCTGATTGATGTCTTGAGGTGAGGTAACCGTAGTATAAGCGGAATAATTGACGACGGGCCGTTGCATTATTAGAAAAATAATGCACACCCGACGCTTCGCGTCGTGGCTCTGAGTACTGCCTCTTCACGGCAAGTGAAGACCTGGAGACCATGCAGGCTTACGCTCAGGTATTTCCAATTATATGCTACCTGACCGGCAAATAGTCTCGTTTTGGAGCTTGTTCTGAATTAATATCACCATGACGGGTGCAATTTGTACTTACTGGCTTCCTATTTCTACAAGTCTCAACATGTTCACCTTGTGTCGTAGGTTTTTAACAAGCTGATCAGGCGTTACAAGTACCTGGAGAAAGGGTTTGAAGAGGAGATCAAGAAGGTAAGCAAAATGGTTGAACTAAGGATAACACCATATTTTGTTAGTCAAACAAAGTCTGTGTCGTTGTGCATTTAGAAAGTCCAATGGTGTCATCACTGTTTTTTTGGGGGGTTTTTTCCCAGCTGCTGCTGTTTTTAAAAGGGTTCACAGAGTCAGAGAGGAATAAATTGGCCATGCTTACTGGAATCCTGCTGGCCAATGGCAATATATCAGCCTCCATCCTGAGCAGCCTCTTTAATGAAAACTTGGTCAAGGAAGGTAATGACAGACCTGTTTAATGGCTCTAGACTAGCAGCGGTGCTTTTCGAGTGAAGAAGTTGTAACTGTTTTGTCGTCTGGGTTTTATTGCAGGTGTGTCTGCCGCCTTCGCTGTGAAACTGTTCAAATCTTGGATCAACGAAAAAGACATCAACTCCGTTGCTGCTAGCCTGCGTAAAGTTGGCATGGACAACAGGCTGATGGTAAATACCGTACTGCAGCCTCAGCTTGGGATGGAGCACTTAAAAATTGCCAAAAGCATCCAAAATATAGCTTCGTTGGAGTAATATAAAAGTTATGTAGAAATGTGTATATAAATGGTAGAGGTTTAGTGTGTGACTAATACTTGGGTTATATCTAAATGAAGCTATAAAAAAAATTTAAAGGGGTCGTATGATGTTGTTAAAAAGAACATTATTTTGTGTATTTGGTGTAATTAAATGTTTATGCGGTTTAAGGTTCAAACAACACATTATTTTCCACATACTGTACATTGTTTCTCCTCTATGCCCCGCCTTTCTGAAATGCGTAGATTTTTACAAAACTCATCGTTCTGAAAAGCGAGGTGTGCTCTGATTGGCCAGCTATCCAGTGCGTTGTGATTGGCCGAATACC